GTCGTCATACCATGAAGACTTACGTTGATAAGAAACTGATCAGTTTGTGGTTTTATGGTTTGCCTATTTAAGGAAGCCTTAGAGACGAGAAATTAAAAATGAAATTCTTCCTTATTTCGTGAACATATTGAGGTGTAGATGTAAGGAGGGAGATAGGAACGTGATTATACCAGTAAGTAATGGAGAGTTAAACACCTCTGGCAATCCTTGTGTATCATCACACAAGAGAACATTATGAAAGTGCATATACACCAGCTTTGTAACTATCCAAAACGATATTACATTGTAAAATATCAAAAGGTTTAGCAAGTATGAAATCTAGCATCAATGACATGTCCTACAAACACGAACCAGTTGTATCATGGAGCTTCGTTCATTATATGGCTTTACTAATACTGTTCCTAAAGCTTTATGTCCATATAAAGTGTAAAACATCTGTGTTCGACCCTAAAAATCGCCATAGATCATCCACCATGTAAGTAAATGTATATATATCGGTCAGACTTTCACAACTGTCAGATAGCTTTATGCCTCAGATGTTTTAATGTAATATAAGTTGATATACTGAGGTGCAAAAGTAAGTTTGCATGCAAGAAAAAATAATTCTACAAAAAACAGGTAAACAAGTAGGATTATTTAACAAGGATCAAAGACAACGATGCCAACATCGTTTTAGATTTTCTTATTTCTACTGGACAGACACTATCCACAACATATGTACTTACACTTCAGTATATAAAAGATAAGATGAACATACAGACACTTCTTCACAAACAATGTAAATGCTTTCGATTTCATTGAGTCTTAAAGTGTGGTATTGTTTAGTACGATTACACAAAAGATTGACAATTTCAAAATCAATAAGAAATTGCTAACATGTAAACAAAATCGTAAAAATTGAAAAGAGAAGAAGACCAGGTGTTCCAGGAGGAACCTATCGTAAATCTTGGTCAATCCAGTAATGCCAGGATACCAAACTAGGAACCCTGAGAAATGATATCGTAGCCTTCATAAAACTATATCTCCTGAAACCCCATGTTGTAAGCTGTCTACATCTTGCACGAAAACGGAGATATCGGGAACGCCCTCGAAAGTTCCATCGCATGGGACACGTTCAAACCATTACGTTTTTTTTTCCCCTAGAAATCAAAAATTCGAAATCGGAAAGATCGAAATCGTTACGTTTATTATGTAGCTTGGCGGAAAGTCTCCTTTAGTTTCGTTGTAGGAAAATATCAAGGTATACTGCTGATATAGAAGAGTTTGTCCAGTCTCTGAGTTGCAATTCTGGTGGGTATATACAATAGATAGGATCAATACATGCCTTGATATTTAGAAATAATCGGTAAATGTGAAACTGAAGGATATGACAAGTTCTTTGTAACCGAATTTGATGTATGAAAACAAAAAACGTCCGATAAAAAAGGCCACAATATGTTCGCCACCTTGATATGTCTGTTTGAAGATCTACTGGCTGTGTTACAAGAACTACTTTTCCTTTGACATTACCAATCTGAAGAAAATACATATATATAAAACCAGTTATTTTGATAAATGAATTCGAATAACGATGTGTTAAATTTTTGGGTATACGTACCTGGTGAAATATATTTGTGAACATAATACTTCCTGTTATCTTCTATTTATAGACACACTGCTGCCGACATGAAACAAAATTTTGTTTCTTACTTCGTATCGACACTTTCAGGGAAAATTATTTAATGTTTGTGTGAAGGGTTGACTTCTTCAGTCGTATCGACATCTGCCCTTTAATTAAGTGATACTAAGTTCTCAAAGAGGCAGTGGCAACTTATCAACCAGATATCAACGAGTCACGTCTAATGGAAGGAGAAAAAACGTTCAACATAGGTTTCCGGATACATGATGATAAAACAACACACGGGGAAACATTATGGTAATCTTTAGCAAATATAATGTTTTCTTGTGATATAAATCTGTATTGCATTCGATGTTCCTAGTGTCCGCGATAGTGTCGCTGCTGTTAAGTAATATTCCCTAGGTACATTTTAATGGCTGGTGTATTTGTATTCGATGATCCTGAATACACTTCCCCTTCCACAACACCTGGTCTTATTACCCGTGTACCCTTTCCATAAGATCGTGTACATTGATCAGTTATGAGCTAGAATTTCACCATAATAAGTGGAATTTCCCAGTGTTATCAGTGCTATTAAAGCCTAAATCATCCACCTACACTCCTCAAAACTAGTTGTGGAAATATATCAAGATGTCGATAGAACGAAAAAATAGGCTATGCTGCGTCTTTGTATATTATAGTAATGATAATGTGAAACACTGGAATTTGTGGTATAAACTTTGGAGAAGCGCTATTAGGGGTATACCTTTTAATGTAATTAGATGAATTTATGATAATGTACGTTCATGTGTAAGATTAAATGATATACATTATCCGCCATGTTTGTTATACATGTCGGTTTAATACAAGGGGGGTCGCTGTCTCCGATACTATTTTTTCATTTATTTGTTAATGATATGGAAAGTGAATTTATAAATTCTAATTTTCAAAGTTATAAATTACATTTGATAAACCTTTTTATGTTGATGTACGTGGATGATACTGTTCTCGGAGAATGTTACTGACCTTCAGTATATGTTAAATCATTTACATAGGTACACGGAAAAATGGAATTTAAATGTTAATATAGATAAAACAAAAAATATCCTTTTTAGAAAAAAAAGATAGTTACATTCTGAAAGTTGAACTTTCAACGGCAAATCTATCGAAATCGTTGATCAGTTTCGCTACCTCTAATTAGTTTTTACATATAATGGAAGATTTACTTTAGCACAAGATACATTAGCATGCCAAGGCAGAAAAGCATGTTATCACCTACAAAGAAAAATGAAGGATATTGCCCTGAATACGGATACTAAAATGTCATTATTTGATACATACGTGACATGTATATTGAATTATGAGTGTGAAATTTGGGGACATAATGTATCGTCACAGGTTGACAAGGTCCACCCTTCGTTTTCTCAAAGATCTATTAAATGTGAAGAAAAATGTCAATACTTCTATAGTTTTCTTTGAAACAGGGAGGTATTCATTATTTGTGCAACGTAAAATAGCATTATGAAATACTGGTTAAAAGTCTAGATACCAGTAACTGTGTTTTAAAGGCATGCTATGACGCATTAGTCGAATTGAATCTCACAAAACCTACCTGTAAACTCAATTTGGTTTATCAACTAGGTAGTAAGGGTTTTAACTATGCTTGGAAGAACCTATGTATAAAAAATGAAAATCGTTTTTGCAAACGTATGCTCAATGTGTCCATGATGTATTTATTCAAGAATTACGCAGTCTTTGATGCATCTTCCAAATGTTATTTGTACAAGCACCTTGTTGATACCTTTTGTAACCAGTTCTCTCTGACAAAGTCCATTATTTTTAAGTTAAAAAATCATTAAGTCAATTTCAAATTAAAAAGTACCATTAAACTAATGGAATTATTTACTTGTAAAAGTGTTAAATTTTTAAACAGACTGGGTAAATATTTGTTGTTCGCTACTGCTAAAAGAAAAAATCTCCTCTCTGAGTAAGCATTATATTGGAATATCATATGAAAATATTAATTAAGTTGTACGTATAAATGTATAAGAACAGTTATTTGATATCTGTCAGTAACTCGTTAAATAGTACTTAAATGATATGCCACGGTGCTTTTTATGTATTGTTTCTATGTTGTTGTCATTATTTCATGACGTCACATGTAGTAACGTCATACTTACAGTATTTCATCACGCAACTGGCCCGTGCTACATGTATTAGACATATATATCGGATATATATGTGTGTGTATTTGAATGGAATTGTCCTCCGCCATCTTGTACATTACATGTGTGTGTATTTGAATGGAATTGTCCTCCGCCATCTTGTACATTACATGTGTGTGTATTTGAATGGAATTGTCCTCCGCCATCTTGTACATTACATGTGTGTGTATTTGAATGGAATTGTCCTCCGCCATCTTGTACATTACATGTGTGTGTATTTGAATGGAATTGTCCTCCGCCATCTTGTACATTACATGTGTGTGTATTTGAATGGAATTGTCCTCCGCCGTCTTGTACATTACATGAATTTTGATCATTAAATTATGTATAATGTACTTGTACCTATAAACTGTATTGCATTTTGATACAAAGCTTGAATTTCAAAAACTTGTCAAGATTGGGAGCAAGTCCTTCTTTATACAATCTACAATGATATACATCCACAAATTGAACTCACCACACACGTTAGTCACAGTTGCCAGTAAATATCAAGGTATTTGATTGGTGTAGATTGGGCATTGCATTCATGTTCATGAAGATATACAAATGTATGATTGTGAAAAATCAAGAGACCCAAGGGCCTTAACGGTCACTCGAGTCCTCAGGTCTTTGGGCAGTTTCAGTACCTGTTACAGCCCCAGCATTGGGACAGATAGAACAGAACTGATATATGCATACTGCAAAGTTTTTATTGTTTCAAAGTTTAAAGGCTTCATTTTCAATTAAAGAGAACTGACAACATTGTCTGTTGTTTAGCATATCCGACCCCCGTGACCCTGTGAATGAAGGTCAAGGTCATTCGTTTGAACAATCGCAACCGGCTACTTGCCCAATATCATGACCCTGGACCATTTTGTTATTGAGAAGAAGTTGTTTAAAGATTTCAACACATTTTGACCCCTTTGACCTTCAAATAGGTCAAGGTTATTCATTTGAACAAACTTGGTAGCCTTTCATCCCAGTACGCTACTTGCCCAATACCTTGACCCTGGGCCTTTAGGTTATTGAGAAGATGTTGAAAATCTAAGTATAATATTATACATTTTAGACATAATGTATATCCATGATCTCCATTCTGGTTAATTGATATATTTAAAGCTGTGTATATGTGTATGTAGGCTCAAATTGTATATGTGTAGATCATGAAATCAACATAGACACAAGATGAAGTCTGATAACTTTATTTTTATACATCATTGACAAAAAAAATAAAGTGATTTAAAAAATATAATCACATAAATTAGAATAAAAACATCATTGAAGAAAAGGCCAGCTTTTCTTACTTATTGTAGAATGATGGAAAAATCAATACATCATTACAACCTGGATAACAGACATATCACAGGTACCACTTTGATTAACACTCAGTTCCTCATTATACAAGGCTTTACTGGACACTGCATAGATATACCAGGTCGGTCATTTATACGGCTGTAAGAGCAATACAATAATGTGTAACTCTCTACTGATCAAATCACTGGTTTTCAACTCTGTCAATTTTTTGCTGGAAATTTCTATTCCATAAAACAAAAGGCACAGAGGGTCTGACATTGGACACCTGGACAATATCTAATTAAAGATTATCTATTGACATAACATTATATAGTCTGAATACTGATTTTACAAATAATGGCAACAAGAACTCTACTTCAAATTCAGTGAAACCATTTTTTTTATCTAAAACTACAGTAATTAATATTCTACCAAAGTTATTCAAAATCACTACTGAAGACTCCAAATATTACTGCTTATTGAACAAGTAGGCACAGCAGCAAAAGTCATTTTTATAACCCTGGGAATTTGCATTCATAGCCATTATGTGAAATTCTGACCTTTACTTTTAACCTTTATGTAACCCTGGTAACATGCTAGTCCAGTAATACCACTTTGCTAGTAAGAACTTCTCTTTAGCTTGAATGAATGAGAGTCAGAATTATAAACTGGGGTCCTTGGTTCGAATCCTTGTAGAGGCATTAAAATAACATAACGACCTCTGTAATACTCATATGTTAGTCTTTTCTGAATCTACTGTTTCTCTAGGCAATAGGTCTGACAAAATGTTAAAACCAACAAGGTATGAGACAATAGTTGGCTTTTGCTACTGGTGTTGTGTTATATATTGTTGGGAAAACCTTCATACTTGAGACATATAGAGAGAGGTATGTATGTAAACTTTGATGGACATAACAGACACAACAACACGTAATGTACATGGTAATATTGTATCTCCCAGTAATAACAACTGTATATATTATGATCAACACAAAACCTGATAGCAACATTACATATCAGTCCCCTAACAATATAGACATTCATTACCGATCTCTCTAGGCAAGAGACAACTATCTACTTTAAGAATATATCTGAAAACAAATACACTGTACATAAAAAGAGGTCTTCTGTAAAACAAAAGTACATCAAATAAATTAAAATGAATATGTTGAATTGAATGGAACTTAAAAAGTCAAAATCCAAAGAAATAACCAGACTATATTTCAAGTCAAAACTAAGAATGTTGAAGAAAAGCTCTCTGTCGACAACTTGACTAAAATACTTAATTAGTGAGTATGAAGGAACGCTAGGTTTATATTCCTCCACAAATGCTTCTGATGAAAAATTAATAATCAACCAAGCATTAAGAGTCTGACTGTCATTGGATGCCATTATAGACACAGGTTTTCCATGTAAAAGTCAAAATAATTGCCTAAAATCCAAATTTAGCCTGCTAAAATTGGTCTTAACAAACAACTTTTCTAGCGTTACCTTTGTAATAGAGATCTTTTGTCATAGTTGATTTCTCCCAAAATGTTATTGCTTTGTGATATAAGAATTCTATGTAGTGTTTTGTGATGGGGATTTCTATACAAACAGGACTATGATTTTGTATCACTGATGATATAGCATGTATCTACAACTATCTGAAAGAGGTTAAATCAGGGATCTACAACGCCAAGTTATATTGTGAGTGTATGCTCTCCAATAAGTGTAAAACTTACAACACTAAGGTAAATTCTAAGTGAAGACTGAATTAATTAATTATTGCTGTACATTTAATTATGATCACAATATGCTGTATAGTGCAAAAGGAGATTACTGGCAGAATTCATCTAAATGGGAAACATGATAAGAAGGGAGATAATCCTAAACGTCAGTGCAGCATTCTGTTTATACATGTAGTTACAGAGATAATTAAGAAACATTTTAGTTCTATCAGTAGCATCAGTCCCTCACCTTTCATATACACACACCAGTCTTCAGTTCATAAAACAATTCATCAACCTATTATCAACCTTGTCAGAACTGCCTGAATGTCAAGGCTTGTGAGAGAGTGCACTTGTCACCCTGCATAAAACAATTCATAAAGTGCTTTAAAAAGGTATCAGTTCAAATCAAATGGTTAATTTCTTAATAATCAAACCTTCACTAATCAGATTACAAACACATCCAAAAGCAATGTAACACAGTATGCAGTCCAGAATAACAAATACTCATTTATAAATTATATCACAATTTCAGTCTGGACAATCAGCTTTCAAACATACACAACCTTATGGAAGCAATTGCACATAATCATTTCAATAATATACTGATCAACAGTATGTAAACAAATGTTGAACATATCAAACAATGTCTTAATTACTGTCAACAACTTAAATAACTAATACATATTTTGTATATAATTTTCCATGAATTCAATAAACACTTCAATGCCTTGTTTTCTACGATACAATGAACATTTCTGTTTAGTTGGTACACACCTATCTCCACACCTTCTTAACATTGTTTAACTCTGTGTTTTTCAGTACTTACTGCACATGTAGCCTAGAGATTTACAGAGGTTGGCTTTGATTTATGTTTTTTAGGTGTTTATTTAGAGTATAACAAGTTCGTACTTATTTGTGTTTTTAAACAAAACATATTCTGTTTTCACAGTTTTCAGTTCATTATGTGAAGTAACCAATCAGTGTGTTCTGTGTAAAAGTGTTCATTGAAGTGTATTAATTAACAAGTGTATAATCACATGTGTAAGGTGTAGAATATAAACCTGCTGTGACTCCACATTACAGTAAGTTTAGGTATACTGTGCACCTTCTGTAGAACTGAAGTAGTGATAGTAGATGTACTTAGCCCTCATGTAGGTGTAGTAGATATTGGAGCGGATGTTCCCACAGGTGACAGATTCGGGTTGGAGCTTACAGTACAGGTAGGAAGCTAGCACCAACAGTAACACACAACAGATTAACAGTAGTGCCCACAATACGTTCTTCGCCAATGTTTCATCTGACACTACAATGTAATAAGAAATGATTGATAATGATGTTAATTACAGAAAACATCAGGATATACAACATTTTAATGTATTCCAGAGAAGCACTGCTGACATTTTCTTAGGTCTCCCACTGTAAAACACGAATCAAATAAGCATGAAGAGAGACAACTCCTACGATAACTTGTGTAGGTAAAAGTACCCTTTCAAAGATTAATATTTTAAGTAATCAATGAAAAACAACCATTCATCTTACTCTCATCCTGTTCGTGGTTTTGTATTTGAGATTCATCAAATCGGACTTTTTTCTCTTCCTTGTCTCCTGTGAAAAATAAAATCACTATAAAAACAAATGTTATATGAAATATGCAGGGCCTAAACAGGACCTTATTCTTTTTCATGGTCCGAACAACATTTAAAACATCAACAAAAAATTCATATCCATGAAATGTTATCAATACTAGAGTGAAAGTTGATCAACTTAAAAAACCTGAATGAGCTGTAAAACATTAGTGCTTTTGTTTTCATCCAGAGATGTGTTACATATATACCGTTATTCTTGTACATATAAACTTTATCTAAGTGAGATACCGTTATTCTTGTACATATAAACTTTATCTAAGTGAGATACCATTATTCTAGTACATATAAACTTTATCTAAGTGAGATACCGTTATTCTAGTACATATAAACTTTATCTAAGTGAGATACCGTTATTCTAGTACATATAAACTTTATCTAAGTGAGATACCGTTATTCTTGTACATATAAACTTTATCTAAGTGAGATACCGTTATTCTAGTACATATAAACTTCATCTAAGTGAGATACCATTATTCTAGTACAAATAAACTTTATCTATTTTATGACAAGTGAGATAGTACAAATAAACTTTATCTATTTTACAACAAGTGAGATACCGTTATTCTTGTACATATAAACTTATCTATTTTACAACAAGTGAGATACCGTTATTCTAGTACAAATAAACTTTATCTATTTTACAACAAGTGAGATACCGTTATTCTTGTACATATAAACATATCTATTTTACAGCAAGTGAGATACCATTATCCTTGTACATATAAACTTTATCTATTTTACGACAAGTGAGATACTGTTATTCTAGTACATATAAACTTTATCTAAGTGAGATACCATTATTCTAGTACATATAAACTTTATCTATTTTATGACAAGTGAGATACCATTATTCTTGTACATATAAACTTTATCTATTTTACGACAAGTGAGATACCCTTATTCTAGTACATATAAACTTTATCTAAGTGAGATACCGTTATCCTTGTACATATAAACTTTATCTATTTTACAACAAGTGAGATACCATTATCCTTGTACATATAAACTTTATCTATTTTACAACAAGTGAGAAACAAATTATGGCAACTTGAAAAATTAATAATTTCAACAAAAAAGATCACCTGTTTTTCTTTTACGAAGTATAGACACAGGTGAAGCAGAGTCGTTGTTTTCTTCATCATTCTCTTCTACCTCATTATTATTGAGTTTCTTCATTGATTCTAATTAAAAAAAATTGTATGATTTCAAAATGCCAATTAATCCTCTTTATTTTGTTACTAATTCATCATTAACCCTGTGATAAGCCCTCCAGGGCTTGCTGAGTAAACAGCAAGGGTCATTCTCAGGTAGTGTCACCTTGTAGTAACAAGTCCACGAGGAACACATACAAATTCTCTTTGATTTTTGTTTGCTTGTTTGTTCACAGGGTTAATCAGCCAGTTAACAGCCAAGGCCCTTTTGAGGCAAGGCCTCCTTCTAGAAGTTGGTGGAAACCTCAATGAAGAACATACCAGAGGCCGTTTGCATGCCGTCCAGAGAAATGAGGGCAAAGCCTCTTGCCCAAGGGCACAACCACTAGAGTACCAACCAGTTGGTTTCTCAGTTTCCTCAGAAACACAAACCACCACAGGTAGGGAGTGATGAACCAATTCATTGACTTGGCTTTCAATGTCAGGGGAAGGGTTTATTGCAGGGCTGTGAATAAATATTTGCTTGTAATTCTACTTAACAGCATTTGATATAGGTGGGCTTATTACCAAGCTTGGGCTTATTACTGGATACATACAGTAACATTTATACTCAACAACAATAGATACAGGTGGGCTTGTTACCACATATAACTTGTAGGCTTAATATTGGATAACTACAGTATTGTATTAGTATTGTATTTCACTAAAATTAATCTCTTGGAGAATGGATTGTACAAAACACTAATTAATAGGTAATACAATGTAATATGGATACTTCAGATTGGAAAAGCATTTGCACTACATAACTAAAGTCATCCACCGTTTTGTTACAGTGGCAACACCCTACAAGCATTCTTCAAAAACAAAATGTTACTATTACCTTGGTACTGTTCCTGCCCTACTTTAGCATACACTGAGGCAAAGAAGTCCAGGCTCTGTACCGTGACGGGATGACTATCACCTAACAACTGCTGACGCATCTTTGTTGCCTGGAATAAGATAAATCATGTTGACTTTAAATCCAGCATATAAAACAAATTGAGCAGAATCTATTAACTGTCAAAAAATCTATAAGATTATTTTAAATATCTTTTTTTTTCTTGATTGAATGGCAAATTACCTTTCCGGCATACTCCAAAGCAAGTTGTGGTCTGAAATAATGGAAACAAAACGATGTAAGTGACAACAGACAACAACATGATCCAGATCCAAAACTTATATCTAATTCTCATCTCATATGTGCTATCTGATCATCATGCCTTTTTTTCATTAACTCCAGTTTATTATATACGTGTGAAAGGGGTAGGTTATTAATGCAGCGAAAATGAGGCTTGTTGACCATATGAAACATGATAATTATTTCAAAGTGTTTGAGATTCTCTCTAGATTAACTTTCTTTTACCCTTATTGTTAACTTATCTTTTTGTATTCATTCATGTGACATCATTGTTACGAAAGGGGAAACAACTCATCTAAACCCTAGGATGAGACAAGGAAATATCACACCAGTAAAAGTGTGGTAAACCTACAGTGAGACAAGGAAATATCACACCAGTAAAAGTGTGGTACACCTACAGTGAGACAAGGAAATATCACACCAGTGAAAGTGTGGTACACCTACAGTGAGACAAGGAAATATCACAACAGTGAAAGTGTGGTACACCTACAGTGAGACAAGGAAATATCACACCAGTGAAAGTGTGGTACACCTACAGCGAGACAAGGAAATATCACACCAGTAAAAGTGTGGTACACCAGCGAGACAAGGAAATATCACACCAGTAAAAGTGTGGTACAACTACAGTGAGACAAGGAAATATCACACCAGTAAAAGTGTGGTACACCTACAGTGAGACAAGGAAATATCACACCAGTAAAAGTGTGGTACACCTACAGTGAGACAAGGAAATATCACACCAGTAAAAGTGTGGTACACCTACAGTGAGACAAGGAAATATCACACCAGTGAAAGTGTGGTACACCTACAGTGAGACAAGGAAATATCACAACAGTGAAAGTGTGGTACACCTACAGTGAGACAAGGAAATATCACACCAGTGAAAGTGTGGTACACCTACAGCGAGACAAGGAAATATCACACCAGTAAAAGTGTGGTACACCAGCGAGACAAGGAAATATCACACCAGTAAAAGTGTGGTACAACTACAGTGAGACAAGGAAATATCACACCAGTAAAAGTGTGGTACACCTACAGTGAGACAAGGAAATATCACAACAGTAAAAGTGTGGTACACCTACAGTGAGACAAGGAAATATCACACCAGTAAAAGTGTGGTACACCTACAGTGAGACAAGGAAATATCACACCAGTAAAAGTGTGGTACACCTACAGTGAGACAAGGAAATATCACAACAGTAAAAGTGTGGTACACCTACAGTGAGACAAGAAAATATCACACCAGTAAAAGTGTGGTACACCTACAGCGAGACAAGGAAATATCACACCAGTAAAAGTGTGGTACACCTGTCCAAAAAAAGAAAAATATTTGTCTTGTTGTACAAGAACACAGTAGAATACTCACTGATCTTTATCCAGACACAGCTTTGCTAAGTGTTCGTATTCTTCAGCACGAACAGTATCCATAGTTTGCTCCATTTGATCTCCATTTCCTGATGTCTTCTCAGCTTCATCTGGACAAATCAATAACAAAGAAAATATTCTCTCTCTTCTTGTACATTAAGTCAAGTGATAAGTTGTACAGTACATTTATTTCTAGACTGATTTAACTTTTTTAATACTAACTCTACTCTTGTTTTACTCAACACCAAAATCCATGAAAATGCAGATATCTGTTTAGTAGCGTTGATACAATGGTGGTTTATTCAAAATTGAAGAAAACAATAGCAAACCAAAAAAATCTGAGAAAAGGATTTTATTCAGCTGTTTGGTTTAAGGATTGAACAGTGGGATGAAGTTAAGGCGAATCTTGACAGACCTGGCGCTTGGACACATTCTAAAGAACAAATAACTATTGCAATTTCTACATCAAAACAACTGTATAATTTTAGGTTTTCACAAAACAGACTTTAACATATCACAGTATAATCATCCTTCATTACCCCAGTCTTGATTTACAGCAATTAATTCTTGTAAAATTATTTTGATTGTGAAATTTGTGTGAGTTTAAAAAACAAAATAATATTGTTTTCAATAAAACAAAAGTGTAATGCTCACCTAGCCTTGCCTGGATTTCTGTTGTATCTATCAAAGCAGTCTCATAATACACTTTCTCAGCCTGTATAAAATGGACTGCTTTGTCCACTACATCAATCAAGGATAAATAATGAAGTATCACGCTGCTAGTGTATATGGAGAAACAATATCAGGACATACAGCCAATCAAAATTTAAACATTGATCTAAACACATGACTAAAATCATTCTTATGTTTGGTAATTAATGAATTAAAAGTAGTCTCAAAAACAAGGATACATTCATCTTTTTGGTAGAATATGTCAGCAATCTGGAAAAAAACACAATTATGTAAGATTTATTGTACAGAATTATTTAAATGGTGTAGGTAAATGTAAAGCTATGGATGTTGACTAAATACCATTGAGTCAATGACTTTGAATCAAGACCTTTAAGCCCTATACATAGGTAAGGGGTCGTGTCTTCTTAGGACAATTTCATTAATGATAGAATCAGGAAACACAACATCTTGTGTTTTGAAAAATAGTACAATTGTAATTACCATTCTTCAAATCCCTTATTTATCAATGTCATTAATTTATTGAGGTGAAAATCTTATATGAATTGATTTAAAATAGCACCAGCTTACATTGCGTAGACACTGAGGCAGCAGAGGAAAGTGACTGTCAGACTGAAGATTTTTTAAACATGCCATGTAACACTTAAGGGCACAGTTTCTCTTGCCATCTTTGTCATAATTGAGGCCTTTCTCAAACAGTGCATTCCTACTCTTACTGTCCAAATGTGTTAGGTCTCCTAGATCTACCTCCCCATCTAGATGAAAAAAATATGGAAAAGAGTTATTTCCGCACAAACAAAAACCAGATGCCAAAAACAGCATTTCATGAACAATTCTTTTGTTACACAATTCTTTATTCTATTACTTTGAGGATAATGTAATCACTACTGATGTAATATTCTCTATTCCAAACAGTAATTTTCCAGATGGATCATGACACCCACTGTTGTTTGATATTCATTTGATCTTAGAAAGAAGGAGCTTTTCCATTTTCTTCACTGTTTATTATGAAATTTGAAAGTTCCTTTTCAGTAAAGTTGATTCTAGTTTTTAACTGTAAAATCCAAAATGGCTGTCTGACTGGCATATTGATTTTCTGATCTGTTCAAAAATCAAGAATTTCCAATAACAAACCATCACTGTCAAAATCCAAGATGGCTGACTATTATCCATTAAGTTTTTTGGGTTTGTCCCAAAATGAGACAATGTTAAACTACAAACCAAAGGGAAACCTACCTATGAAGCTGATCCAACATGTACTTTTCAAGAAATCACCATAACAAATTATTACCAGTACTGTCAAAATTCAAGATGGCCTGCCTATTTCTGATCAATCACAAAATGGGACAAAACACAACTAGGGACACAGGGAAACTTACATATAAAATCTGAAAATGATCCATCCAGTATTTCTCAATAAATAGTGATAACAAGAATTTTGTAAGGACAGATGGATGACAGATCATAGACAAGAGGCAATTTGACAGCCCAGCTGATGATGGTGAGCTTATAACTATACGAGAAAAAAATTTATGTACAGGACTTTCTCAAATCGAAAATTGTAAAACACAAGCCATTAGATTTACAGGTTTACCATCATCCTTGATTGCCTTGTCATCTTGTGTTTCCTGTTCTTCAGCTCTGTCTAGAGAAATAGTGTGATGTGTTTCACCATTTTCTGTGCTGCTCTCTTCACTGGATGCTATACCACTATCAGTAGACAGTGGATCTTGAGTCATCTCATTATCAACTCCTACTGGCTTGTCAAGATCTGCATTTTCAGTGATGCCTTCATCTTTTTTATCGTCAGCAGAATTTTCATTTAGTGGCGACTGCAGATTTAATTCTTCCTTTGTAACTTCTTTTTCTGCCATTTTACCCTGAAAATGTACATGTTTATCTACAACATAGGAAATACATTAGAATTACAACTGTGCGTCCCTAAAAAAACTAGTTTTATGCTCCAATGTATACCCAATGTATTGTTTTCATTTCATTACCATTTTTAATAGATCTGGAGATTATGTTATTTGGTCAAAACCACTATAACTGGACATTAATTGCTTCAGTAAATGTTTTAACCTACACTTCCATATATACATAATAATATTATATTTTCATAATATAGTAATTCATTAGAATCACAAACCTCCACTTTCAAGATTAGACAAATTTAACACTGATACATTCATTAACTCGAGACAAAAAGCTCTACTAATTGATCATCTAAACATTAACATTTGTCCCAGCCATGCTCTCTCTTTCTTCTCATGATCAACCCTCTATACTTTTTCTCAATCAATATTAGTGTATCCTATATACATTTAGGTGTCTAATATATTATAGTAAGGACCAAATAAAATGTCAACCAGGTTGTTGACATCTTGAATCACTATGTTAGTAAATAGAAACCAAACAAATACATATATGAATTAAAATGTGTCCATGTTTTCAGATCTATTAAAACAAACAGACTGATGAAACACCAGTCTTTTCTTAAGGTAGAGGCCCAATGGTCTAAATGGTCGCCTAAGTGGGTCAAATGGAAAACCCAACCCATCAGCGTCTTGGGGTCAGCCAGGGACTATATGTGTATAACATGAAACTGTCATCCTATACTAACAATTATAACCAAGTTTGATCTTTTTCCGAAAGAAAATAAAAAAAATACATCCAAAAATGTAATTTTACCCCTACCCTGGGGGAATGCGAGACCATATAATTCACTATTTTAGTTCATCTTTAGCCAAGAAAGGTTGTGATCATTTTTAATGATGAGTGTCCCATCATCAAAAACAATTATCCAACCACAGGTACCACTTTCATTTGTCAACATATCTATTAGTAGGAGTATTTATTTATACCGGTGGTCCAACCGAATTTGTAGCTATACCGCTCTCTGATCCAACAAACAAATTTGGCGATAGAATCTTGTTACTCTGCCAGGTCTTCCTTATAAATAATTTTATTTCAGTAAAAAATCCAGGAAGGAGTACCTTGAAAATGGATTGAGCACCTGGCAATCATATAGAATCTAAGACATAATCATGTAAATAGCTTGCAAGCTTGTGTACCGCTTTAGTGCGGTTCACTCTCGTGCATTTTGCCATATTTGGCCTTATTATATATTATCGATGACTATAAGATGGCACATATCCTAAATGGGGAATATTGTCGTTTATACATACGCACTTTGAAAATAAATCACATATTTCGTTCCCATACACCTGAACTAGTTACAACAGGTTCACCGTGTCCACCATATTTAATCAAAAGTGTTTCCGCTTCCGGTTTCTTAATTTAGACGAATTTGGAATTATTTTTAGACAATGTCACGTGCTTTCACCGACGTTTTTGCTCGCACAAAAGGCACAGTTGCCCATGAACGCATTTAACAGTCTATGTGTAAGTAGATTTATCATTTCATTTTGCCTAAAAGAATTTGCAGTATTTATTTGTCTCATTTTTTTATCCGAGCGCGAGGGTTTAATTTTATAGCATAACTTATTACTATGTGTATGTTGTATCTGATCGGATGAATGATCATGAGTGTAAGTGACACAGTGTTTATACTTTAGGTTATTTGGGACAACTTGTTCATTTTATTTATTTATTTCATCGTTTAGACACAGATTTGGAATAAAAGCAAACTAGATAAATCTTATATTGGTTATTCACTAAAATGTAGCAGAATCATAATAATTTTTGTCAAGAATGAAACCCTGTGTTGATTTCATGAACGCCAGAATATTTTGGTAACTGGGATTCAGATATCTGAGTCCTGGACTCGTGCTTTTTCCCATGGAACTTACGCCCAACCCACATACTGTTCATTTTATCTCTGAAATGGTGTCCTTGGCTTGCCTGAAAAATCCTGCAATAATAACGGAATTATTTCTCGGTAATCCAAGGGATCCAACAGTTGTGAATATGTATATTTTATGCATATACGAAATGTATCATTCAGTTATTTTGGCAGTCATAGAGTTTAAGAATATACATTGATGTATCAACAAAAGTTCACAACTTGACATGCCACTTTGCAGCTGATATGTTTTGAATGTGTTTAGAGGACATATTGTATAGCTCAGTATTTACTAATGGGATAATTTTCCTTTATGTATATTTGGGCAGGGACGTATCTGATTTGGGTGATGTATATGTATATATATATATATCTTGTCTTTGCTTTTAATTTTTTCTGATGTGTGTCATATTAAAAAAAAAACTGCACATTTCACATTGGTCATTTGTTTCAGAAAGATGGCGGAAAATTCATCTAAACATCTGCATACTGAAATCTTCTGCTGGTTATGTTATAAGAACTTTTATTCAATTGACATTACCAACCTGAAGACAATGTTCCGAAATAAGATAATATTTCTTTCACATCATTTTCTCTTTGTATACATTGTTATGGAAAACGGCAATTGCATTATCATAATGTATTTCCATGCAAAATATAAAGAGCTTTTCTTTCAGATCCACTGGTACCTGTAGTCTGTTAAAGATGAAGAATGACAAGGTTGGATTAGTCAATTCTGTTGACATTGATCAGGATGGCCAGTTTACTCAGCCTCAGTGACACATTAGATCTATAGCTTACATTACTAGTGGTACCCCTCCCACCTGTACAGATCTCTGTGTTCAGCCTCAGTACCACACTAGATCTATAGCTTACATTACTAGTGGTACCCCTCCCACCTGTACAGATCTCTGTGTCTAAGTGTTCATCCTCAGTACCACACTAGATCTATAGCTTACATTACTAGTGGTACCCCTCCCACCTGTACAGATCTCTGTGTTCAGCCTCACTACCACTCTAGATCTATAGCTTACATTACTAGTGGTACCCCTCCCACCTGTACAGATCTCTGTGTTCAGCCTCAGTACCACACTAGATCTATAGCTTACATTACTAGTGGTACCCCTCCCACCTGTACAGATCTCTGTGTTCAGCCTCAGTACCACACTAGATCTATAGCTTACATTACTAGTGGTACCCCTCCCACCTGTACAGATCTCTGTGTTCAGCCTCAGTACCACACTAGATCTATAGCTTACATTACTAGTGGTACCCCTCCCACCTGTACAGATCTCTGTGTCTAAGTGTTCAGCCTCAGTACCACACTAGATCTATAGCTTACATTACTAGTGGTACCCCTCCCACCTGTACAGATCTCTGTGTTCAGCCTCAGTGACACACTAGATCTATAGCTTACATTACTAGTGGTACCCCTCCCACCTGTACAGATCTCTGTGTTCAGCCTCAGTACCACACTAGATCTATAGCTTACATTACTAGTGGTACCCCTCCCACCTGTACAGATCTCTGTGTTCAGCCTCAGTACCACACTAGATCTATAGCTTACATTACTAGTGGTACCCCTCCCACCTGTACAGATCTCTGTGTTCAGCCTCAGTACCACACTAGATCTATAGCTTACATTACTAGTGTACCCCTCCCACCTGTACCTGTACAGGTCTCTGTGTTCAGCCTCAGTGACACACTAGATCTATAGCTTACATTATTAGTGGTACCCCTCCCACCTGTACAGATCTCTGTGTTCAGCCTCAGTACCACACTAGATCTATAGCTTACATTACTAGTGGTACCCCTCCCACCTGTACAGATCTCTGTGTCTAAGTGTTCAGCCTCAGTGACACACTAGATCTATAGCTTACATTACTAGTGGTACCCCTCCCACCTGTACAGATCTCTGTGTCTAAGTGTTCAGCCTCAGTGACACACTAGATCTATAGCTTACATTACTAGTGGTACCCCTCCCACCTGTACAGATCTCTGTGTTCAGCCTCAGTACCACACTAGATCTATAGCTTACATTACTAGTGGTACCCCTCCCACCTGTACAGATCTCTGTGTTCAGCCTCAGTACCACACTAGATCTATAGCTTACATTACTAGTGGTACCCCTCCCACCTGTACAGATCTCTGTGTTCAGCCTCAGTACCACACTAGATCTATAGCTTACATTACTAGTGGTACCCCTCCCACCTGTACAGATCTCTGTGTTCAGCCTCAGTACCACACTAGATCTATAGCTTACATTACTAGTGGTACCCCTCCCACCTGTACAGATCTCTGTGTTAAGCCTCAGTACCACACTAGATCTATAGCTTACATTACTAGTGGTACCCCTCCCACCTGTACAGATCTCTGTGTTCAGCCTCAGTACCACACTAGATCTATAGCTTACATTACTAGTGGTACCCCTCCCACCTGTACAGATCTCTGTGTTCAGCCTCAGTACCACACTAGATCTATAGCTTACATTACTAGTGGTACCCCTCCCACCTGTACAGATCTCTGTGTTCAGCCTCAGTACCACACTAGATCTATAGCTTACATTACTAGTGGTACCCCACTAGATCTATAGCTTACATTACTAGTGGTACCCCTCCCACCTGTACAGATCTCTGTGTTCAGCCTCAGTACCACACTAGATCTATAGCTTACATTACTAGTGGTACCCCTCCCACCTGTACAGATCTCTGTGTTCAGCCTCAGTACCACACTAGATCTATAGCTTACATTACTAGTGGTACCCCTCCCACCTGTACAGATCTCTGTGTCTAAGTGTTCAGCATCAGTGACTCACTAGATCTATAGCTTACATTACTAGTGGTACCCCTCCCACCTGTACAGATCTCTATGTCTAAGTGTTCAGCCTCAGTACCACACTAGATCTATATCTTACATTACTAGTGGTACCCCTCCCATCTGTACATATCTCTGTGTCTAAGTGTTCAGCCTCAGTGACACACTAGATCTATAGCTTACATTACTAGTGGTACCCCTCCCACCTGTACAGATCTCTGTGTTCAGCCTCAGTACCACACTAGATCTATAGCTTACATTACTAGTGGTACCCCTCCCACCTGTACAGATCTCTGTGTTCAGCCTCAGTACCACACTAGATCTATAGCTTACATTACTAGTGGTACCCCTCCCACCTGTACAGATCTCTGTGTTCAGCCTCAGTACCACACTAGATCTATAGCTTACATTACTAGTGGTACCCCTCCCACCTGTACAGATCTCTGTGTTCAGCCTCAGTACCACACTAGATCTATAGCTTACATTACTAGTGGTACCCCTCCCACCTGTACAGATCTCTGTGTTCAGCCTCAGTGACACACTAGATCTATAGCTTACATTATTAGTGGTACCCCTCCCACCTGTACAGATCTCTATGTCTAAGTGCTCAGCCTCAGTGACACTCTAGATCTATAGCTTACATTACTAGTGGTACCCCTCCCACCTGTACAGATCTCTGTGTTCAGCCTCAGTACCACACTAGATCTATAGCTTACATTACTAGTGGTACCCCTCCCACCTGTACAGATCTCTGTGTCTAAGTGTTCAGCCTCAGTACCACACTAGATCTATAGCTTACATTACTAGTGGTACCCCTCCCACCTGTACAGATCTCTGTGTTCAGCCTCAGTACCACACTAGATCTATAGCTTACATTACTAGTGGTACCCCTCCCACCTGTACAGATCTCTGTGTTCAGCCTCAGTACCACACTAGATCTATAGCTTACATTACTAGTGGTACCCCTCCCACCTGTACAGATCTCTGTGTTCAGCCTCAGTACCACACTCTATAGCTTACATTACTAGTGGTACCCCTCCCACCTGTACAGATCTCTGTGTTCAGCCTCAGTACCACACTAGATCTATAGCTTACATTACTAGTGGTACCCCTCCCACCTGTACAGATCTCTGTGTTCAGCCTCAGTACCACACTAGATCTATAGCTTACATTACTAGTGGTACCCCTCCCACCTGTACAGATCTCTGTGTTAAGTGTTCATCAGTACACACTAGATCTATAGCATTACTAGTGGTACCCCTCCCACCTGTACAGATCTCTGTGTTTAGCCTCAGTACCACACTAGATCTATAGCTTACATTACTAGTGGTACCCCTCCCACCTGTACAGATCTCTGTGTTCAGCCTCAGTACCACACTAGATCTATAGCTTACATTACTAGTGGTACCCCTCCCACCTGTACAGGTCTCTGTGTTCATCCTCACTACCACTCTAGATCTATAGCTTACATTACTAGTGGTAACCCTTCCACCTGTACAGATCTCTGTGTTCAGCCTCAGTACCACACTAGATCTATAGCTTACATTACTAGTGGTACCCCTCCCACCTGTACAGATCTCTGTGTTCAGCCTCAGTACCACACTAGATCTATAGCTTACATTACTAGTGGTACCCCTCCCACCTGTACAGATCTCTGTGTCTAAGTGTTCAGCCTCAGTACCACACTAGATCTATAGCTTACATTACTAGTGGTACCCCTCCCACCTGTACAGATCTCTGTGTCTAAGTGTTCAGCCTCAGTACCACACTAGATCTATAGCTTACATTACTAGTGGTACCCCTCCCACCTGTACAGATCTCTGTGTTCAGCCTCAGTACCACACTAGATCTATAGCTTACATTACTAGTGGTACCCCTCCCACCTGTACAGATCTCTGTGTTCAGCCTCAGTACCACACTAGATCTATAGCTTACATTACTAGTGGTACCCCTCCCACCTGTACAGATCTCTGTGTTCAGCCTCAGTACCACACTAGATCTATAGCTTACATTACTAGTGGTACCCCTCCCACCTGTACAGATCTCTGTGTCTAAGTGTTCAGCATCAGTGACTCACTAGATCTATAGCTTACATTACTAGTGGTACCCCTCCCACCTGTACAGATCTCTGTCTAAGTTCAGCCTCAGTACCACACTAGATCTATAGCTTACATTACTAGTGGTACCCCTCCCACCTGTACAGATCTCTGTGTTCAGCCTCAGTACCACACTAGATCTATAGCTTACATTACTAGTGGTACCCCTCCCACCTGTACAGATCTCTGTGTTCAGCCTCAGTACCACACTAGATCTATAGCTTACATTACTAGTGGTACCCCTCCCACCTGTACAGATCTCTGTGTCTAAGTGTTCAGCCTCAGTGACACACTAGATCTATAGCTTACATTACTAGTGGTACCCCTCCCACCTGTACAGATCTCTGTGTTCAGCCTCAGTACCACACTAGATCTATAGCTTACATTACTAGTGGTACCCCTCCCACCTGTACAGATCTGTACAGATCTCTATAGTTACATTACTAGTGGTACCCCTCCCACCTGTACAGATTTCTGTGTCTAGTTCAGCCTCAGTACACACTAGATCTATAGCTTACATTACTAGTGGTACCCCTCCCACCTGTACAGATCTCTGTGTTCAGCCTCAGTACCACACTAGATCTATAGCTTACATTACTAGTGGTACCCCTCCCACCTGTACAGATCTCTGTGTTCAGCCTCAGTACCACACTAGATCTATAGCTTACATTACTAGTGGTACCCCTCCCACCTGTACAGATCTCTGTGTTCAGCCTCAACCACACTAGTGTTACAGCCTCAGTACCACACTAGATCTATAGCTTACATTACTAGTGGTACCCCTCCCACCTGTACAGATCTCTGTGTCTAAGTGTTCAGCCTCAGTACCACACTAGATCTATAGCTTACATTACTAGTGGTACCCCTCCCACCTGTACAGATCTCTGTGTTCAGCCTCAGTACCACACTAGATCTATAGCTTACATTACTAGTGGTACCCCTCCCACCTGTACAGATCTCTATGTTCAGCCTCAGTACCACACTAGATCTATAGCTTACATTACTAGTGGTACCCCTCCCACCTGTACAGATCTCTGTGTTCAGCCTCAGTACCATACTAGATCTATAGCTTACATTACTAGTGGTACCCCTCCCACCTGTACAGATCTCTGTGTTCAGCCTCAGTACCACACTAGATCTATAGCTTACATTACTAGTGGTACCCCTCCCATCTGTACAGATCTCTGTGTCTAAGTGTTCAACCTCAGTACCACACTAGATCTAATGCTTACATTACTAGTGGTACCCCTCCCACCTGTACAGATCTCTGTGTCTAAGTGTTCATCCTCAGTACCACACTAGATCTATAGCTTACATTATTAGTGGTACCCCTCCCACCTGTACAGATCTCGTGTGATACTGCTGATAAAACAGGTACAAAATAAACATTTAACAGGTGTATTTGATAAACACAACAGATATAAACTGTAACAGCTGGACATCTTTATGTGTAATCAACAGTCAGTGTTAGAAATATTTACACTTGGCTTTACTGGTTTCAATTTGTCTGTTGATTATTTTTTCTTTAAAACCTCTTTTAAATTCCTCATCATATCAAAGAGGCTCATTGTCACAAGTTTTATCCAGTATAACTGTGGGGACAATGGGCTATATATATATCACTTATGTTGAAGTCAATGACTTTGATTGTTTACGATTCAAGGAAGCCCAGCTGTGTCATACTTGACTTGTGACATACTGGAATAAAGAATTAAGCAGTTTTGGATCTATCAGAATGACCTTGACCAACTTTTAAAGTAACATGCATAGATTCTTCAAAGAGCCTCTTCCCTTATTAACTGATTAACATTTTCTGATAATGGTCCTATTTCAAATGAATTCTTCTTCTCCACTTAAAAATTTACAGAAATTAGATTAGTAACCAGTAAACAAATAGCTGCAGGGAACAAGTGAAGACACCAGGGCTACATTATAAATAGGCCTTTTTCTTAGGCTACCTGAGACAATGTCTCGTGGTGACCTATTCTAATACCCTTCATCCAGCCCCGTGGGTCATGCGTTGTGTGGGTCCTGCATGCGTAAACAATTTAACACTTTTTGACTTCTTCTCAAAAACCCCTGATCCAATTTCAATGAAATGAGATGAACCAAAATTGTGAATTGTAGTCCCCACCTCCCAGGGACTTGAGGAGCAGGGCCAAAAGGGGTCAAATTGACTCAGATTTCAAAAATCTTCCTCTCAAGAGCCAGATATGGTAGAATCAAATACTCTTCATGAATGGAAGCATCTTAAGGTGCTTTACTAAAATTGTAAATTTCATGGGGAGGGGGGTAAATTTTATTAAAGTTTATATAGAAAAACTAGATTTTTTGCATAATTTGTTTAATTTTCATAGGATATATTTCAGACTTGTTTAGAATTATGAGTTAAGAGTGACAGCTTGATTGAATGCCCATTTTTATCCTGATTGACCCCCAGGGTTGATGAGTGGGGCCAAAAGGCGTCAAATGGACTCAGATTTCAAAAATCTGGTAGAATCAAATATTCTTCATGAATGGAAGCATCTTAAGGTTTTTTAATTACCAAAATAATTTTTTTTTTTTAGACTTTACTGTAATTTTCATGGAAAAATTGTATTTTTGAGCATAATATTGGTTATTTAAATCTTTATATTCAATATTGCTTATCTCATGTGACTCTCTTGTTAATTATATGATTTAAATTTTTTTATCTTCTCCTAATGAACATTAAGTTTATACAATTAATTTTATTTGAAGGAATGTCAGATACTTCATGCTGACTTATATATGATTATTCATCTACAAGTTGTTTGTACAAGATGACTTTAGGATTTGTGTACTTACATGTTGTTGGACTTTGACTGAAGACACTCTACAAGCTAAGCTGATTTAGAGGTGTCCTTGTTGACATATACTGTGTTGTATTACACACTGTATCTAACAGTGTATAATATCAAACCTCAAAGCAAACATCTATTAAATACTATATTCTGTTCTGAAATCTTTGATTCATGGTGGAATTTTTCCCTTGTTGTGTTGTATTAATGTCACTTTGCTAATATTTCACTGTTGTTCTAGTTTGGGCTTGTTCACCAGTATAGAGGTTTGCTAATGTCTTAGAAATGATGTCCATATATACAGACCAGATATTTTCTACTGTCCAAATGTTCACTGGCTGTTTGATTCTGCTCTATCTTTATTGACAGTGATTAAAGGGGAGTTAACTCCTCTGCAAATATTAACAACTGTATAGTATTCAATAAAAGAGGATAGTGTATGTGTTCTTTATATAGCTCTATATGTACAATTTATATTTAAAAAGAAAGACATTTTTCTATGAACAAAGTGGAAGTGTACAACATGTATAGACAACATATTTTAAATACAAAAGACTAATGGGGATGTTATTTAAAAAATGAGGGTATTAACTGCTAGCTTTATTTTGTGGTGCTTATCTCAACTGATCAATTAGTATACCAAATCAAGTTCAACCATTTAAAACCCTATAAAGAAGACACAATGTTCAGGGATTCTAAAATGAACTATTTTTTTCTAGCTTCCAGATTATATTTGTAAACATAATTATTGAATCAATGCTTGTTACAGAATAACCTTGGTAGAGAGTATACCTGACAACCTGACCTATCCTGCAGGGTCCCCCTCCCACCCGTCAACATACTCCGCTCTCATAGACCTCATGAAAATGGCCACTTCACAGATAGAAATTGCCTCCTACTATTGGACTCTCAATGGATCAGATATCGGATACCACGATGACTCAAGCTGGCAGGTATGTACCATAACAACTCCAGCTGGCAGGTATGTACCACAAATTCTCCAGATGGTAGGTACATACCATAACAACTCCAGCTGGCAGGTATGTATATTAAATTCTCCAGATGGTAGGTACATACCACAACAACTCCAGCTGGCAGGTATGTACCACAAATTCTATAGATGGTAGATACCGTAACAACTCCAGCTGGCAGGTATGTACCATAACAACTCCAGCTGGCAGGTATGTACCACAAATTCTCCAGATGGTAGGTACATACCATAACAACTCCAGATGGCAGGTATGTACATCAAATTCTCTAGATGGTAGATACCATAACAACTCCAGCTGGCAGGTATGTACCATAACAACTCCAGCTGGCAGGTATATACCATAACAACTCCAGCTGGCAGGTATGTACCATAACAACTCCAGCTGGCAGGTATGTACATCAAATTCTCTAGATGGTAGATACCATAACAACTCCAGCTGGCAGGTATGTACCACAAAATCTCTAGATGGTAGGTACATACCATAACAACTCCAGCTGGCAGGTATATACCACAAATTCTCCAGATGGTAGGTACATACCACAACAACTCCAGCTGGCAGATATGTACCACAAATTCTATAGATGGTAGATACCGTAACAACTCCAGCTGGCAGGTATGTACCATAACAACTCCAGCTGGCAGGTATGTACCACAAATTCTCCAGATGGTAGGTACATACCATAACAACTCCAGCTGGCATGTATGTACCACAAAATCTCTAGATGGTAGGTGCATACTATAACAACTCCAGCTGGCAGGTATATACCACAAATTCTCCAGATGGTAGGTACATACCATAACAACTCCAGCTGGCATGTATGTACCACAAAATCTCTAGATGGTTGGTGCATACTATAACAACTTCAGATGGTAGGTGCATACTATAACAACTTCATATGGTAGGTACATACCACATCTCAAGTTGGTAGATGTGTACCATAACAACTCTAGCTGGCAGGTGCATAGCACAACCTCAGCTGGTATTTTCGTACCATAATAACTCCAACTAGCAGAAGCATACCATAACATATCCAACTGGCAGGTAACATACCAAAACAATTCCAGCTGGTAGGTATGGTAGCTGGATGGTAGATATACAATATACCACAACTCCAGCTAAGAGATAGATAAACATACTATTATAATATTATACAGATTTGTATACTTAAGGGATAAAGAAACACAGGGTGACATTAATTGCAATAACTTGCAAACATGTTGTTCAAAAATTGATCAAGCAACTCTCTAGATTACAGTGCACATGGTCCTGTATCAAATATTGCATTATTGTATTGTGTGATGATGTCTTCTGGGGAAAGCATGAAACGGGAAAATCTCATGCACAGCAGTGTTGTGACATTGAGTTACACTGCTTGTCATACCATGAGGAAGAGACGCATCATTTTCTGATATTTTGATTAATTTCTGATAGCTTTAAGCAATGACACAGCTGATGGAAGCTCAGAGAGTTCAGGCAGTTGTGATGGTTATGCAAGGTCAATGGCAAATACAGGTTGCCAGACATTTCAATGTCCATATTTACTCTATAGAATGTCTTGTTAGATGTCTGAGGGAATCTGGGCAGTTTGCTGTCAGACCTCGGTCTGGGCGTCCGCATGTGATATCACAATGTCAGGACAGGTTTATTCGTCTCGCGCATTTGTGCGATCAGCACTTTACTGCCACTGACTATGCTCCTCATACCATAGGTACTCATAACCGTCCTATCCAAACTAAAAAGAAATGATTGTGGGCTGTCAGTCTGTGGTCACCTGTTTGTAGGTCTGCCTCTTACTGCCACTTGTCACCAGACTTGTATGTTTTTGATGGCAACACGTGCCCCCAGAATATTCCCATTGAGGTAGTGGAGGCGGGTCTTGTTTACTGATGAGTCTTGGCTCACTCTATTTTGAGCAAATGTTTGAAGTTGTGTACCGGGTATACCAATGTTGTGGGGAACGTTTTGCTGACTGCTTCATACTAGAGATGGATAGGTGGGGAGGACTCTCACATGGAGTTCAATCACCACTGGTTGTGGTAAGGGGTAATTTAACTGCCACTAAGTATAGAGATGAGATCCTCCAACCCAATGTTGTCCCATTATTGCTGCAAAACAACTCACATTTCAACAGCATAATGCTTGACCCCATGTAGCGAGGATCTGTCGTGACTTTTCCCAACCTTTCCCCTATTGAGCACTTGTGGGACCAGTTGGACAGACAGGTTCGATTACGCCAGCCGCCCCCTGTTAATCTGGCCCAACTGCAAGCAGCCCTGTTGGAAGAATGACTCCATGTCTAGGAAAATCAGGGCTGTAGAGAGAGCGAATGGAGGACATTACAGATTACAGAGTTCCCTTTCATTTCCCTTCAATTACTCCTTAATCACTTACTAGATTAAAATCGCTGATTTTGCAGTTTATTCTGTATGGATTAATCTTCATTCTTACTTAAAAATATTGAACATTTTCCTTGACGTCTTGCCTAGAATCATCTTCAAAGTTTAACCTGTGTGTCTTTATTCCTTTAGTATATTTTATTCTTATTTGATTTATAACTGTTAGTCATATACAATATTGATACTACAACATCTCCAGCTAACTTAACTTATCAAATTTAAATGCCATGGGCAAATTGATAATATTGCACTTGATTGTCAGGGGGAGAGTGTTCTGAGCACTTTGATGGCCGCAGGCCGTGACAGAAAACTGAAGATAAAGATTGCCCAGAACAAACCAGATGGTGGTTATTATAACAACACTCGCGACCTTGCCAAATATGGTATGTTATTATACGTATTAGTATCTCATTTTAAAAAATATATTGGTGTGGACCTATATGTTTATTTGATCAAAATCACAAGAAAACCTGTTACGTAACAAGATAGCCCAGCAAGAAGTGCTAAATAGATATATATAAATGAGATACACACAGTAATTAAGTACACCTTTTACACTGGTGAAATATACACAGAAAATAACACACAGTAATTAAGTACACCTTTTACACTGGTGAAATATACACAGAAAATAGAATTATCTTTAAAAATATTAATGATTTATATTCATCAACAGCAGGGATAGTTATTGATTTAGTTATGAACTGTGTTCATCAACAGCTGGAGCCGAAGTGAGGACTCTTGACTTTGATAGTCTGATGGGAAACGGCATCATACACACGAAGATGTGGCTGATTGATCGTAAACATTTTTACGTAGGAAGTGCTAACTTGGACTGGAGGTCACTAACCCAAGTTAGTGTATTTGTAAACCATAAACATTTTTAAGTAGGAAGTGCTAACTTGGACTGGAGGTCACTAACCCAAGTTAGTGTATTTGTAAACCATAAACATTTTTAAGTAGGAAGTGCTAACTTGGACTGGAGGTCACTAACCCAAGTTAGTGTATTTGTAAACCATAAACATTTTTAAGTAGGAAGTGCTAACTTGGACTGGAGGTCACTAACCCAAGTTAGTGTATTTGTAAACTCCAATGAGTATTTTCTCTAAACTTCACTTAACAAAGTATGATTTTGAGAAGAAGGTTAAATCACACATAAGATAGATTGAATAGGAACATTAATTGTTAGAACTACTTACAAGTGTGATTACTATTAAAATGATTGGAATACATGTATTTTCATCTCAGAAGTAGTCAATGTTATTAACTTGATTCTTACATTCATAATGTTTGAAATTCTTGATTCAACACAAATTGCAAAGATTAAACGAGTCAGCCAATCTGGCGTTTGAAGCAGGTTTTTAAAACTACGCCATAAAAACTAGTATAATCTTATTGTATTGACAGGTAAAGGAGATGGGAGCCTTAATCTCTAACTGTCCTTGTATGGCAAGGGACATGGGGAAATTATTTGATGTTTATTGGGATTTAGGACTTCCAGGAGCAAAGGTCCCTGCCCAGTGGCCGATATCTTACGACACAAACATTAACAATAACCACTCAATGGACATCACCTTCAATGATTCAAAAGTGGCTGCCACCACTTACATCTCTGTAAGTAACTTTGCATATGAATTAAAAAATCATTTGATAAGTCTGTATAAGTTCACTTGAGCTTGGTTCATTATCCCCCTGCAGCGATCGCGGAGGGATATAGCATTCCTTTCGTATATATGTGTACATACATATGTTCTCTTTTGTCATCACTCTAGCAACCTCATTTCTCAAACTATTTTAATCAAACTTCACCTATTGGTCAAGTATCATAATACAATGACAAAGGTAATGTTTCATTGTGCCAGGGTCAACCTTAAGGTCACTATTGCTATAGATAGAAAATCATATCTGCAACACAACTTCATAATAAATGGGAGCAAGGCGATTTTTTATCTTTTTCGATGTGATAACTAGATCTACTCTCTTCCATCTCAGATTTTTATCTTTTTCGATGTGATAACTAGATCTACTCTTCCATCTCAGATTTTTATCTTATGATGTGATAACTAGATCTACTCTTCCATCTCAGATTTTTATCTTTTTCCATGTGATAACTAGATCTACTCTTCCATCTCAGATTTTTATCTTTTTCGATGTGATAACTAGATCTACTCTTCCATCTCAGATTTTTATCTTTTTCGATGTGATAACTAGATCTACTCTTCCATCTCAGATTTTTATCTTTTTCGATGTGATAACTAGATCTACTCTTCCATCTCAGATTTTAATCTTTTTCGATGTGATAACTAGATCTACTCTTCCATCTCAGATTTTTATCTTTTTCGATGTGATAACTAGATCTACTCTCTTCCATCTCAGATTTTTATCTTTTTCGATGTGATAACTAGATCTACTCTCTTCCATCTCAGATTTTTATCTTTTTCCATGTGATAACTAGATCTACTCTTCCATCTCAGATTTTTATCTTTTTCGATGTGATAACTAGATCTACTCTTCCATCTCAGATTTTTATCTTTTTCGATGTGATAACTAGATCTACTCTTCCATCTCAGATTTTTATCTTTTTCGATGTGATAACTAGATCTACTCTTCCATCTCAGATTTTTATCTTTTTCGATGTGATAACTAGATCTATTCTTCCATCTCAGATTTTTATCTTTTTCGATGTGATAACTAGATCTATTCTTCCATCTCAGATTTTTATCTTTTTCGATGTGATAACTAGATCTATTCTTCCATCTCAGATTTTTATCCTTTTTTTGTGCATCATTTTAGAAGGTGAATATTATAATGATGAATTATACAAATCAAGCCAAGAACAATCTTAACAGTGGTTTCATTGGGTGGAGTTTTCTGAATCTCAGGATCACCACATAACCAGGGGTCATGTTGTTTCCTGCAGAGTTCACCACCTCCATTTTGCCCTGTTGGAAGGACCATTGATGTTAATGCCATTGTGGATATCATCAATATGGCAGAGCAATTTGTTTATGTTGCAGTCATGGACTATTTCCCTACAACACAGTTCACTAACCCACGAGTGTAAGTACAGATTGACTATTTCCCTACACACAGTTCACTAACCCACGAGTGTTAGTACAGATTGACTATTTCCCTACACACAGTTCACTAACCCATGAGTGTAAGTACAGATTGACTATTTCCCTACAACACAGTTCAATAACCCACGAGTGTAAGTACAGATTGACTATTTCCCTACAACACAGTTCACTAACCCACGAGTGTAAGTATAGATTGACTATTTCCCTTCATCACAGTTCACTAACCCACGAGTGTAAGTACAGATTGACTATTTCCCTTCATCACAGTTCACTAACCCACGAGTGTAAGTACAGATTGACTATTTCCCTTCATCACAGTTCACTAACCCACGAGTGTTAGTACAGATTGACTATTTCCCTTCATCACAGTTCACTAACCCACGAGTGTAAGTACAGATTTGACTATTTCCCTACAACACAGTTCACTAACCCACGAGTGTTAGTACAGATTGACTATTTCCCTACAACACAGTTCACTAACCCACGAGTGTAAGTACAGATTGACTATTTCCCTACACACAGTTCACTAACCCACGAGTGTTAGTACAGATTGACTATTTCCCTACACACAGTTCACTAACCCATGAGTGTAAGTACAGATTGACTATTTCCCTACAACACAGTTCACTAACCCACGAGTGTAAGTACAGATTGACTATTTCCCTTCATCACAGTTCACTAACCCACGAGTGTTAGTACAGATTGACTATTTCCCTTCATCACAGTTCACTAACCCACGAGTTTAGTACAGATTGACTATTTCCCTTCATCACAGTTCACTAACCCACGAGTTTAGTACAGATTGACTATTTCCCTACACACAGTTCACTAACCCACGAGTGTAAGTACAGATTGACTATTTGCCTCCAACACAGTTCACTAACCCACAAGTGTAAGTACAGATTGACTATTTGCCTACAACACAGTTCACTAACCCACAATTGTAAGTACAGATTGACTATTTGCCTACAACACAGTTCACTAACCCATGAGTGTAAGTACAGATTGACTATTTCCCTACACACAGTTCAATAACCCACAAGTGTAAGTACAGATTGACTATTTGCCTACAACACAGTTCACTAACCCACGAGTGTAAGTACAGATTGACTATTTCCCTACAACACAGTTCACTAACCCACGAGTGTAAGTACTGATTGACTATTTGCCTACAACACAGTTCACTAACCCACGAGTGTAAGTACAGATTGACTATTTCCCTACAACACAGTTCACTAACCCACGAGTGTAAGTACTGATTGACTATTTGCCTACAACTCAGTTCACTAACCCACGAGTGTAAGTACAGATTGACTATTTCCCTACACACAGTTCACTAACCCACAAGTGTAAGTACAGATTGACTATTTGCCTACAACACAGTTCACTAACTCACAAGTGTAAGTACAGATTGACTATTTCCCTACAACACAGTTCACTAACCCACGAATGTAAGTACAGATTGACTATTTCCCTACAACACAGTTCACTAACCCACAAGTGTAAGTACTGATTGACTATTTCCCTACAACACAGTTCACTAACCCATGAGTGTAAGTACAGATTGCCTATTTCCCTACAACACAGTTCACTAACCCACGAGTGTAAGTACAGATTGACTATTTCCCTACAACACAGTTCACTAACCCACAAGTGTAAGTACTGATTGACTATTTCCCTACAACACAGTTCACTAACCCACAAGTGTAAGTACTGATTGACTATTTGCCTACAACACAGTTCACTAACTCACAAGTGTAAGTACAGATTGACTATTTCCCTACAACACAGTTCACTAACCCACGAATGTACGTACAGATTGATTATTTCCCTACACACAGTTCACTAACCCACAAGTGTAAGTACAGATTGACTATTTCCCTACAACACAGTTCACTAACCCACAAGTGTAAGTACAGATTGACTATTTGCCTACAACACAGTTCACTAACTCACAAGTGTAAGTACAGATTGACTATTTCCCTACAACACAGTTCACTAACCCACGAATGTAAGTACTGATTGACTATTTCCCTACAACACAGTTCACTAACCCACAAGTGTAAGTACTGATTGACTATTTGCCTCCAACACAGTTCACTAACCCACGAGTGTTAGTATAGATTGACTATTTCCCTACACACAGTTCACTAACCCACGAGTGTAAGTACAGATTGACTATTTCCCTACAACACAGTTTACTAACCCATGAGTGTAAGTACAGATTGACTATTTCCCTACAACACAGTTCACTAACCAACGAGTGTAAGTACAGATTGACTATTTCCCTACAACACAGTTTACTAACCCACGAGTGTAAGTACAGATTGACTATTTCCCTACACACAGTTCACTAACCCACAAGTGTAAGTATAGATTGACTATTTCCCTACAACACAGTTTACTAACTCACAAGTGTAAGTACAGATTGCCTATTTCCCTACAACACAGTTCACTAACCCACAAGTGTGAGTACAGATTGACTATTTCCCTACACACAGTTCACTAACCCATGAGTGTAAGTACAGATTGACTATTTCCCTACAACACAGTTTACTAACCCACAAGTGTGAGTACAGATTGACTATTTCCCTACACACAGTTCACTAACCCATGAGTGTAAGTACAGATTGCCTATTTCCCTACAACACAGTTCACTAACCCACGAGTGTAAGTACAGATTGCCTATTTCCCTACAACACAGTTCACTAACCCATGAGTGTAAGTACAGATTGACTATTTCCCTACAACACAGTTTACTAACCCACAAGTGTGAGTACAGATTGACTATTTCCCTACACACAGTTCACTAACCCATGAGTGTAAGTACAGATTGCCTATTTCCCTACAACACAGTTCACTAACCCACGAGTGTAAGTACAGATTGACTATTTCCCTACATCACAGTTCACTAACCCATGAGTGTAAGTACAGATTGACTATTTCCCTACAACACAGTTCACTAACCAACGAGTGTAAGTACAGATTGACTATTTCCCTACAACACAGTTTACTAACCCACAAGTGTAAGTACAGATTGACTATTTCCCTACAACACAGTTCACTAACCCACGAGTGTAAGTACAGATTGACTATTTCCCTACATCACAGTTCACTAACCCATGAGTGTAAGTACAGATTGACTATTTCCCTACAACACAGTTCACTAACCAACGAGTGTAAGTACAGATTGACTATTTCCCTACAACACAGTTTACTAACCCACAAGTGTAAGTACAGATTGACTATTTCCCTACAACACAGTTCACTAACCCACGAGTGTAAGTACAGATTGACTATTTCCCTACAACACAGTTCACTAACCCACGAGTGTAAGTACAGATTGACTATTTCCCTACAACACAGTTCACTAACCCACGAGTGTTAGTACAGATTGACTATTTCCCTACAACACAGTTCACTAACCCACGAGTGTTAGTACAGATTGACTATTTCCCTACAACACAGTTCACTAACCCACGAGTGTAAGTACAGATTGACTATTTCCCTACAACACAGTTCACTAACCCACGAGTGTTAGTACAGATTGACTATTTCCCTACAACACAGTTCACTAACCCATGAGTGTAAGTACAGATTGACTATTTCCCTACAACACAGTTCACTAACCCACGAGTTTAGTACAGATTGACTATTTCCCTACAACACAGTTCACTAACCCACAAGTGTAAGTACAGATTGACTATTTGCCTCCAACACAGTTCACTAACCCACAAGTGTTAGTACAGATTGACTATTTCCCTACATCACAGTTCACTAACCCACGAGTGTAAGTACAGTTATTGGTTTTCTGAAACAAAAACAAAAGTTGTTGAGCAGAAAAAATTGGTTTAAAATGTAAATTTTAGCAGAACTAGGATACCCTTTTATCAGTTAACTCTTACTTTATATTTTGTGGTCTGAAGCATCCTTGGAGAAAGTGGAACCAACTCTCTCTAGGTCTGACCCCCTGGGGCCGTAAACCAACAATTCCTTTAAAATCTGTCTTGTTCTTTGGGAATTGCAGGATATTGTGCGTAATTGGTCTGAATTATGCTTGGGTAAAGGTAAATCAGTTTTGTATAAAGTGTTGGTGTGGCTAAACAGGGAAAATCTAACCCCCAAGTAGATTTAGTTCATTTTCATATGATTACTCTACACCATCAACAATTCATTTGGATATTTGACTGTTTAAAACAGAGATCCCTATTGAATAACTTTAACAATGCTGAGCATCAGGAGATAAACACAATCATAACTGATAATTTGTCCTGAGGTCTGGTCCCACCTCAGGACTGATTATATCTTTGAAGCCATTGATATTGCCATTCCTTAACGTAATAGCATTGCTTGACATCAAGAGATTAACAACTGATCTCTGTCCCCATTATTAGGGAAGTGGTAAAGTTGTAAAGTTGTGGGGTGAGGCTCAGGGGAAATATTTTCCTTCTAAAGAAATGTGAAGTTTTGTATTATTGACTTGAATGTCCAAGTGAATGATACAGGCCCTCTGAGATAGTGTGGGTTTCAGCAAGATCAAAATCTTGTATATGTACACTGTTCAGTTTTCAGCTGCCTTATTTTTTACTTTGTGTCATTAACTAAGAATTGTGTCCTAACAATTATGAGATATCAAATATATATATACATATATATTCTGTAGAAATGCCTGAGGTTATAATCTCTAACTCTTTATAGTTACTGGCCAGTAATAGATGATGCATTTCGCCGAGCAGCCTTTAATCGCAAGGTCAAAGTTCACCTATTGATTAGCTATTGGCAACACACCTGGAATGACATGAAGATCTATTTGAGTTCTCTCAATGACCTGCAGTTTAAATGTTATCCCGAAATAGACATAACTGTGGTAAGTTGTTAAAATCCTAGTCTTCTTTTTTAATTTTCCATTACAATGATATGCATGTATACAGATATATATATATCTTTCATTAGTGCACTTGTACAAATAATATACTAAAATATTGTTGTATGTGTCCATTGTAGACAATATTGTTGTATGTGTCCATTGTAGACAATTTTGTTGTATGTGTCCATTGTAGACAATATTGTTGTATGTGTCCATTGTAGACAATATTGTTGTATGTGTCCATTGTAGACAATTTTGTTGTATGTGTCCATTGTAGACAGTATTGTTGTATGTGTCCATTGTAGACAGTATTGTTGTATGTGTCCATTGTAGACAGTATTGTTGTATGTGTCCATTGTAGACAGTATTGTTGTATGTGTCCATTGTAGACAGTATTGTTGTATGTGTCCATTGTAGACAGTATTGTTGTATGTGTCCATTGTAGGCAGTATTGTTGTATGTGTCCATTGTAGACAATTTTGTTGTATGTGTCCATTGTAGACAATATTGTTGTATGTGTCCATTGTAGACAATTTTGTTGTATGTGTCCATTGTAGACAATATTGTTGTATGTGTCCATTGTAGACAATATTGTTGTATGTGTCCATTGTAGACAATATTGTTGTATGTGTCCATTGTAGACAGTATTGTTGTATGTGTCCATTGTAGACAGTATTGTTGTATGTGTCCATTGTAGACAGTATTGTTGTATGTGTCCATTGTAGACAGTATTGTTGTATGTGTCCATTGTAGACAATATTGTTGTATGTGTCCATTGTAGACAGTATTGTTGTATGTGTCCATTGTAGACAATTTTGTTGTATGTGTCCATTGTAGACAATATTGTTGTATGTGTCCATTGTAGACAATATTGTTGTATGTGTCCATTGTAGACAATATTGTTGTATGTGTCCATTGTAGACAATATTGTTGTATGTGTCCATTGTAGACAATATTGTTGTATGTGTCCACTGTAGACAATATTGTTGTATGTGTCCATTGTAGACAGTATTGTTAAAGTTTTTTCTTGCATTATTTTTTACGTAGTGTTGATTTTGCCCTTGAGTGTCCTTCAACATATCAGTCTATCAAGAGAAATACACCACATCATTCTCAGAAGGGTTTTCATAGTGAAAATACTGCATGGGGTAACATGCAAAGAATTGTCAGGATTTTAATTACTATTAGTTATAAGCAGGATAATAACTATGGATCCTAGGGTCATGCAGATGTTTTACTGGAATAGCTCTTACCTCAATCATATATTCATATTTTCATTTGAATTATTTTTGGGAACCACATTCAAGTCTTGTCAAGATATACCATGAGGTCTCTTACCACAAGGGACATAACTCTTCCTTTTTATTTTCAGCATACCAATTACTAGTAATATTTGCATCTTTCTCTTTCAGAAAATTTTTGAAGTGCCAGCTTTCACCGATTCTCAGAGGAAGATTCCTTATGGACGTGTCAACCACAACAAATACATGGTCACTGATAAAACAGCATACATAGGTACAGTATAACAGAATACATATCTATCTGTATGTGGGTATAACAGAATACATACATATCTGTATGTGGGTATAACAGAATACATACATATCTGTATGTGTGTATAACAGAATACATATCTATCTGTATGTGTGTATAACAGAATACATATCTATCTGTATGTGGGTATAACAGAATACATACATATCTGTATGTGTGTATAACAGAATACATACATATCTGTATGTGTGTATAACTGTATGTGTGTATAACAGAATACATACACATCTGTATGTGTGTATAACAGAATACATATCTATCTGTATGTGTGTATAACAGAATACATACACATCTGTATGTGTGTATAACAGAATACATATCTATCTGTATGTGTGTATAACAGAATACATATCTATCTGTATGTGTGTATAACAGAATACATATCTATCTGTATGTGTGTATAACAGAATACATATCTATCTGTATGTGTGTATAACAGAATACATATATATCTGTATGTGGATAGGATTTTATACTGGCTGCTGGCTGATGTATTACTTTTACATCTACCATTAAATCTATAGTCACTTTTACATCTACCACTAAATCTATGGTCACTTTTACATCTACCAGTAAATCTATAGTCACTTTTACATCTACCAGTAAATCTATGGTCACTTTTACATCTAGCACTAAATCTATGGTCACTTTTACATCCACCAGTAAATTTATAGTCACTTTTACATTTACCAGTAAATCTATGGTCACTTTTACATCTAGCACTAAATCTATGGTCACTTTTACATCCACCAGTAAATTTATAGTCACTTTTACATCTACCAGTAAATCTATGGTCACTTTTACATCCACCAGTAAATCTATAGTCACTTTTACATCTACCAGTAAATCTATGGTCACTTTTACATCTACCAGTAAATCTATGGTCACTTTTACATCTACCAGTAAATCTATAGTCACTTTTACATCTACCAATATATCTATAGTCACTTTTACATCTACCAGTAAATCTATGGTCACTTTTACATCTACCAGTAAATCTATACTTTTACATCTACACTAAATCTATGTCACTTTTACATCTACCAATAAATCTATGGTCACTTTTACATCTACCAGTAAATCTATGGTCACTTTTACATCTAGCACTAAATCTATGGTCACTTTTACATCCACCAGTAAATCTATGGTCACTTTTACATCTACCAATAAATCTATGGTCACTTTTACATCCACCAGTAAATCTATAGTCACTTTTACATCCACCAATAAATCTATGGTCACTTTTACATCTACCAGTAAATCTATGGTCACTTTTACATCTACCAGTAAATCTATGGTCACTTTTACATCTACCAGTAAATCTATGGTCACTTTTACATCCACCAGTAAATTTATAGTCACTTTTACATCTACCAATAAATCTATAGTCACTTTTACATCTACCAATAAATCTATGGTCACTTTTACATCCACCAGTAAATTTATAGTCACTTTTACATCTACCAGTAAATCTATGGTCACTTTTACATCTACCAGTAAATCTATGGTCACTTTTACATCTACCAGTAAATCTATGGTCACTTTTACATCTACCAGTAAATCTATAGTCACTTTTACATCTACCAGTAAATCTATGGTCACTTTTACATCTACCAGTAAATCTATAGTCACTTTTACATCTACCAGTAAATCTATGGTCACTTTTACATCTACCAGTAAATCTATAGTCACTTTTACATCTACCAGTAAATCTATGGTCACCTTTACATCTACCAATAAATCTATGGTCACTTTTACATCTAGCACTAAATCTATGTAAATCTATAGTCACTTTTACATCTACCAATAAATCTATGGTCACTTTTACATCTTCCAATATATCTATAGTCACTTTTACATCTACCAATAAATCTATGGTCACTTTTACATCTACCAGTAAATCTATGGTCACTTTTACATCTACCAGTAAATCTATGGTCACTTTTACATCTACCAATATATCTATAGTCACTTTTACATCTACCAGTAAATCTATGGTCACTTTTACATCTACCAGTAAATCTAAGGTCACTTTTACATCTACCAGTAAATCTATGGTCACTTTTACATCTACCAGTAAATCTATAGTCACTTTTACATCTACCAATAAATCTATGGTCACTTTTATGTCTACCAGTAAATCTATGGTCACTTTTACATTTACCAGTAAATCTATGGTCACTTTTACATCTACCAGTAAATCTATAGTCACTTTTACATCTACCAGTAAATCTATAGTCACCTTTACATCTACCAGTAAATCTATGGTCACTTTTACATCTACCAGTAAATCTATAGTCACTTTTACATCTACCAGTAAATCTATGGTCACTTTTACATCTACCAGTAAATCTAAGGTCACTTTTACATCTGCCAGTAAATCTATAGTCACTTTTACATCTACCAGTAAATCTATAGTCACCTTTACATCTACCAATATATCTATAGTCACTTTTACATCTACCATGGTCACTTTTACATCTACCAGTAAATCTATAGTCACTTTTACATCTACCAGTAAATCTATAGTCACTTTTACATCTACCAGTAAATCTATGGTCACTTTTACATCTACCAGTAAATCTATAGTCACTTTTACATCTACCAGTAAATCTATAGTTATTTTCTTTACAAGAGTAGATAAAACAAGTAATATTGAATTTTGAAACCTGACAAAGAAGACAGGCTATCATTGGTTCAGAATATGTGGTAGTCTATTTACTTGTAAATGTAATGAATTTAAATCACATTCTTTGGTAAAAAGATATAAACTTGCTTTGTTTTCAGGGACATCTAACTGGTCTGGTGATTACTTCATCAACACTGGGGGTATAGGCCTGGTAATAAATCAATACAGATCTGGTACCTCTTCAACTGAGGGGGATGTGCGACAACAGCTGGAGGATGTATTTCTACGGGACTGGAACTCTAAGTATTCATGGGACTTGAACACATTCAATTTTACCTCTGTAGACAGACATACAGAACTCTGATTGGACATGATGTTGATGCTATTTACAGGCATATGCTCAATGCTCTGGAAAATATAACTAGTGGGTAATGTTCAGACTTTCAATGACATTGAAGTACTTGGTGCCTTATTCACAACATCATCCAACTGAATGGTTTTCATCTGTAAGCAATTCAGGGTTGTGTGCTTTGAGATTATGTTAATTTTGCTAATTTACTATAAAAATCATCATTGTAATTGTACCCTGACATGGAAGGAACAATCGTGACATGTATAGTCCATTCCTTGCCATAAAGTCTATATATAGCATGCTGTAGTTATTTATAGTGTGTAGTTTTTATGCTGTAGTAAGTGCCAATTGTCTACATTATTATTTATAGTGATTACTTATTTTACCTGTATGATTTACCCGAAATGACCTTAGATTTAGACGTTTATAGGATGTAAAACCAAATGCTATATAATTTTATATATTTGTATACCTCATTATCATTTTCATGTATCTTTTGCTCATATTTTTTCACATTCCACCTTAAATGTATTTGTTGTCACAAGGGCAGCATAAGTGTGTTTATATAATCAATAAAAAATATAGTGAAATTTGTAGATGTGATGTCTGAGACAGCCTTAAAAAGAAAAAATGTAGATGTAGTGTCTGAGACAGCCTTAAAAAGAAAAAATGTAGATGTGATGTCTGAGACAGCCTTAAAAAGAAAAAATGTAGATGTGATGTCTGAGACAGCCTTAAAAAGAAAAAATGTAGATGTGATGTCTGAGACAGCCTTAAAAAGAAAAAATGTAGATGTGATGTCTGTAACTGACAGCCTTAAAAAGAAAAAATGTAGATGTGATGTCTGTAACTGCCTTACAAAGAAAAAATGTAGATGTAGTGTCTGTAACTGTCTTACAAAGAAAAAATGTAGATGTGATGTCTGAGACAGCCTTAAAAAGAAAAAATGTAGATGTAGTGTCTGAGACAGCCTTAAAAAGAAAAAATGTAGATGTGATGTCTGAGACAGCCTTAAAAAGAAAAAATGTAGATGTGATGTCTGAGACAGCCTTAAAAAGAAAAAATGTAGATGTGATGTCTGAGACAGCCTTAAAAAGAAAAAATGTAGATGTGATGTCTGAGACAGCCTTAAAAAGAAAAAATGTAGATGTGTTGTCTGTAACTGTCTTACAAAGAAAAAATGTAGATGTGATGTCTGAGACTGCCTTACAAAGAAAAAATGTAGATGTGATGTCTGTAACTGCCTTACAAAGAAAAAATGTAGATGTGATGTCTGAGACAGCCTTAAAAAGAAAAAATGTAGATGTGATGTATGAGACAGCCTTAAAAAGAAAAAATGTAGATGTAGTGTCTGAGACAGCCTTAAAAAGAAAAAATGTAGATGTGATGTCTGTAACTGTCTTACAAAGAAAAAATGTAGATGTAGTGTCTGAGACTGCCTTACAAAGAAAAAATGTAGATGTGATGTCTGTAACTGCCTTACAAAGAAAAAATGTAGATGTAGTGTCTGTAACTGTCTTACAAAGAAAAAATGTAGATGTGATGTTACTGTAGATGTGATGTCTGAGCCTTACAAAGAAAAAATGTAGATGTGATGTCTGTAACTGCCTTACAAAGAAAAAATGTAGATGTAGTGTCTGTAACTGTCTTACAAAGAAAAAATGTAGATGTGATGTCTGAGACAGCCTTAAAAAGAAAAAATGTAGATGTAGTGTCTGTAACTGTCTTACAAAGAAAAAATGTAAAAACAGCCTTATGTAGAAAAAATGTAGATGTGATGTCTGTAACTGCCTTACAAAGAAAAAATGTAGATGTGATGTCTGAGACAGCCTTAAAAAGAAAAAATGTAGATGTGATGTCTGTAACTGTCTTACAAAGAAAAAATGTAGATGTAGTGTCTGAGACTGCCTTACAAAGAAAAAATGTAGATGTGATGTCTGTAACTGTCTTACAAAGAAAAAATGTAGATGTAGTGTCTGAGACAGCCTTAAAAAGAAAAAAATGTAGATGTGATGTCTGAGACAGCCTTAAAAAGAAAAAATGTAGATGTGATGTCTGAACAGCCTTAAAAAGAAAAAATGTAGATGTGTAGATGTCTGAGACAGCCTTAAAAAGAAAAAATGTAGATGTAATGTCTGAGACAGCCTTAAAAAGAAAAAATGTAGATGTGATGTCTGTAACTGTCTTACAAAGAAAAAATGTAGATGTAGTGTCTGAGACTGCCTTAAAAAGAAAAAATGTAAAAACAGAAAAAATGTAGATGTAGTGTCTGTAGCCTTAAAAAGAAAAAATGTAGATGTGATGTCTGTAACTGTCTTACAAAGAAAAAATGTAGATGTAGTGTCTGAGACAGCCTTAAAAAGAAAAAATGTAGATGTGATGTCTGTAACTGTCTTACAAAGAAAAAATGTAGATGTAGTGTCTGAGACAGCCTTAAAAAGAAAAAATGTAGATGTAGTGTCTGAGACAGCCTTAAAAAGAAAAAATGTAGATGTGATGTCTGTAACTGTCTTACAAAGAAAAAATGTAGATGTAGTGTCTGAGACTGCCTTACAAAGAAAAAATGTAGATGTGATGTCTGTAACTGTCTTACAAAGAAAAAATGTAGATGTAGTGTCTGAGACTGCCTTACAAAGAAAAAATGTAGATGTGATGTCTGAGACAGCCTTAAAAAGAAAAAATGTAGATGTGATGTCTGAGACAGCCTTAAAAAGAAAAAATGTAGATGTAGTGTCTGAGACAGCCTTAAAAAGAAAAAATGTAGATGTGATGTCTGTAACTGTCTTACAAAGAAAAAATGTAGATGTAGTGTCTGAGACTGCCTTACAAAGAAAAAATGTAGATGTGATGTCTGAGACAGCCTTAAAAAGAAAAAATGTAGATGTGATGTCTGTAACTGTCTTACAAAGAAAAAATGTAGATGTAGTGTCTGAGACAGCCTTAAAAAGAAAAAATGTAGATGTGATGTCCTTACAAAGAAAAAATGTCGATGTAGTGTCTGTAACTGCCTTACAAAGAAAAAATGTAGATGTGATGTCTGAGACTGCCTTACAAAGAAAAAATGTAGATGTAGTGTCTGAGACTGCCTTACAAAGCAAAAATGTAGATGTGATGTCTGTAACTGCCTTACAAAGAAAAAATGTAGATGTGATGTCTGTAACTGCCTTACAAAGAACAAATGTAGATGTGATGTCTGAGACTGCCTTACAAAGAAAACTGTTGTCTGACTAGATATATTTTTCCCTAAGGTATTTCAACCAACAAGCTGTTACATTTGTTCTAAGACAGGTTTACACTTTTATTCCATTAGAGACCATCCTATTATTACATGATGAAGATTCTTCTGAAGATTTGGAAAATCAATCATGTGACTTGCAATGAATAATCACACACAAGTATCCACTGGGGTCACTGATCCTTGTCTTTACTATTTTGCTTAAACTTGAAATTCTTTCATATATACACAGATATATATATTAATCTGAGGTTATTTTGTGATTGATAGATTTTGCTTGTATTGATTCGTTATGGAGAGGACATACATAAATAGTAAGAACTTTTGTCCAATCCATGTCTTTTGTTTATTATAAAATTAGGTCTTTTCACAATCAGTGTCATCTTTATGTTGTGATTGTCTAATATTAAAATAGCAGTTCATGTTCAGTCAATACTACAAGATGTGTGTCAGAAATGGGATTGATTCCTATATCAGACTCATGAGTGTGTGAGGGGTTTTCCCACAGCTAAGCCCCTTGAGCCAACAGGAGTGAAAACACATACAAATAGATTGTTTCAAAAACTGTTTTAAAATCAACACATTTTATTGTGTTTAACAATGTTATTACAGATGTATGTTTCCTATGCAGGCTGATTGATAAGTTATGAGCATTATGTTTAAGGGTTTGACTTAAGGCAGACATATTGCTTTACTTTTCAACATAATCCCCTTAAGTATCTATACACTTTTGCCAGCAATGTTTAAGGGCATCAATGCCACTTTTATAGAAGTCATTTTTTGACCGTTCAGAATGTCCTCCAATGCATGTATGACATCATCATCTGACCAAAAGTGGGTACCAGAAATGGCCTTTTTCAATTTTGGAAATAGATGAAAATCTGATGGAGCGAGATCAGGTGAATAAGTCGGATGCTCAACCAATTCAAAGCCACGATCATCAATGGTCACCATGGCAATGGTAGACTTGTGAACAGGGACACTGTCCTGGTGGAACGGCACACCTTTTCGGAGTTATCTGTGGCTTTTAACATTTTCTCTTAACTGCCTAAGAAGTGATGCATAATATGTGCCATTGATTGTTTGACCCTTTTGCAGATAATGTACCATCAGAATACCATCAGCATCCCAGAAAACCAAGGTAATAATCTTTCCAGCTGATGGAACAGTCTTTAGGGGTGAACCAGGAAGCTTCCTTTGTTTAGTCATTTGTTTGGCCTCTGGGGTGAAATGATGGATGCATGTTTCATATGTAGTCACAAATAGAAACAACCAAGATATTGAGATGAAAAAACGTAGATATAAAGATGAATAGAAGGGTGTATGTTACCTACGGATATCACAACACTACAAACAAGACAGATATCACAACACTACAAACAAGACAGATATTACAACACTACAAACAAGACAGATATCACAATACTACAGACTAGACAGATATCACAACACTACAGACAAGACAGATGTCACAACACTACAGACAAGACAGATGTCACAACACTACAGACAAGACAGATATCACAACACTACAAACAAGACAGATATCACAACACTACAGACAAGACAGATATCACAACACTACAGACGAGACAGATATCACAACACTACAAACAAGACAGATATCACAATACTACAGACTAGACAGATATCACAACACTACAGACAAGACAGATATCACAACACAACAGACAAGACAGATATCACAATACTACAGACTAGACAGATATCACAACACTACAGACAAGACAGATATCACAACACTACAGACAAGACAGATATCACAACACTACAAACAAGACAGATATCACAACACTACAGACAAGACAGATATTACAACACTACAAACAAGACAGATATCACAACACTACAGACAATACGGATATCTACAAACAAGACAGATATCACAACACTACAGACAAGACAGATATCACAACACTACAGACAAGACAGATATCACAACACAACAGACAAGACAGATATCACAACACTACAGACAAGACAGATATCACAACACTACAGACAAGACAGATATCACAACACTACAAACAAGACAGATATCACAACACTACAGACAAGACAGATATCACAACACTACAGACAAGACAGATATCACAATACTACAAACAAGACAGATATCACAACACAACAGACAAGACAGATATCACAACACTACAGACAAGACAGATATTACAACACTACAGACAAGACAGATATCACAACACTACAGATGAGACAGATATTACAACACTACAGACAAGACAGATATCACAACACTACAAACAAGACAGATATCACAAC